GTATTGGTAATTATTTGGGGGTTTCCGAAAATAGGGGACCCTAATATAGCACCCTAAATAGTAGGATCCCTATTATAAGGACCCCCAAATAAGGTACCCCTAATTTTCGGAAACCCCCATTTAGGCCCCTACATTATGAGGATCTCACTTGCCGCCGAGGTTAGGTTTCCCCTCTCCCCATAATGTAGGGGCCTAACTAATTACCTATACTACGGTTGATGATATAAATCCTGCATTACGCAAAATAAGGAATATACCATAATTCCGATACTTTAGGGTCCTTAAGGTAATGCAGGATTTATATCATCAACAGTATTTTGGGGGCCCCTATATTACAGCGACCAAGGATCTGTTTGTAGTATGTAGAGTTTGTGCTTTCAAGTCAAGCGCCAGGGCTTAACCAGAGCTTGGCATGCTTGAGATACTATTCCTTCAGTTCTTTATTACTTATTGTAACTCTACTATACGACACTCGAATACTGCAATACGTTACTCTAGGCTATGCTAAAACACCACAATGCTCATAATACTCCTTAAAGTAATAACCCTAAACCCTAAACCCTAAACCCTAAAACCTAATCTTACCCTTCATTCTACCCGAACACCCTACCGAAGATATGGAGGCCCCCTGTTTACTTCAAGCCTCATGGGACTTAGTAGGGTTGTGGTAAGGTTTCAGGTTTAGGGTTTAGGGTTTAGGTTTAGGGTTTAGGGATTAGGGTTTAGGGTTTAGGTTTAGGGTTTAGGGTTTAGGGTTTAGGGTTTAGGGTTTAGGGGTGGTAAGGTTTCAATCAGGATGACCCGACTCAAGGCTCTTATGACTCCAATACAAACCCTAATTATAGCCCCAAGTACGACCCCAAACCCTTAACCCCCAAACCCAAACCCCCCTAAAGCCCTCAACTGGGCTTTGAAGTAACGAGGGAGAAAAAAGTATAGACTTTTATTTCATAATGGCTCCTTTAACGAACAGGTCCCAAAAAAGTATTAAAGTATGGTACTTCAAAGCCCAGTAAACCCTTAAACCCTAAAGCCTAAGGCCCTGGAGGCCTTTAAGTAGACCCCTAAACCCTAAACCCTAAACCCTAAATCCTAAAGCCTAAGCCCCTGGAGGCCTTTAAGTAGACTTGAGCCATGTCGCCGAGCGAGACCAAGGACGCGCAAAGTGGGAGGACCACATGTCCTGCGGTTCAGGGTTTAGGGTTTAGCTTAGGGGCTTAAGGGTTTTGTAGGGTTTAGGGTTTAGGGTTTAATACTAGGAGGATCATGAGACTTAGTAAGCAAGGTTATAAGTGCCCTAGTTAGTTGGGGTTATAAGTATAGTTACCTTAGTTATAACCCTACTTACCTTGCCTGACTTCTGAACCCCTCCTAAAAGTTAAACTTTTAGCTTACTAACTATAGTTTAAATTGAAACCCAAAAAGTTAAAGTCCTAAGAGCCAACCAGAAGAACCCCAAGAGAAACCTTGAGTCTTCATTCGGGTTCCTTTTATCAATCTTAGTATCTTGGGGCTATAGGGCCAGGGTTTTCTTAATCAGCTTCCTACAGTAGGAGTTTAGGCTCTAGGGGCTTAATGTTGTTTATTTAAGGGCTTAGGGTTTTAGGGTTTAGCGGCTTAATGTTTAGGGTTTTGGGGACTGTTGCTCTAATAATGATTGCGCTTGGGCTTAGAGTTTAGGGCTTGTGGTTTCGGGGAGAGGACATCTGACAGGTGTGTAAAGACTTCAAAGCCTTAAGCCATACGCCAAAACCCTCTAAATTTGGTTAGGCTGGGGTTTGGGGATACCCATAGTAAGATGGGGATTGAGGTCTGTAATGAAGCCACAAGTTCTAAAGCAAGTAGTATACCTGGAAGGCATACTATATTACGGGTTACTAATGGGATGTCAGGAATATTATACTTTAGCGACTCCAACAGTTCTTAAGCCGGAACCCGGCTGATATGGTCAAGCATTGGGCCATCATGACTAGTAAAAGGTTGGGTGCATGTGCATGTAATGTAAGGCGGTTACGGGGTCGAAGTCGACCGCTGCGTTTTGCATATTTTAGGAATATGCTGAAAATTGTGTGTGTGTGTATGTGTGAATGGTTGAACGAAGAGAAAAGGAATGAACGGAGCTCAGTTCGTCTCTTGCGGTTAGTTGGAAATAGGAACGACAAGGAAGCCAGCACCGAACGCTTGAATTTAATTAATGACTCGTTTGTG